GAAATTACGCCAAGATGGCCAAGCTGTATGCAAGGGGTCTGGGCCTTTCATACATGACATACGGAGTACAGAGTAGGGATCAGGCCGAGGTGAATGGGCCGAGATTACGTAAATTCCAGAGTTACGCAAGCTGTATGGCCCTTGCTGTAATTACCTGCTGTAATTACCGGGAGGCAAGCACTGGAGGCAAGTGGGAGACAGGGGAAGACAGGGGAAAAAAGCAAGGGAAGCTATGACCTCATCGATCTGACTTGCAAAGGAGAGTCCCACCCATCGATCGGGGCCGTTGTCCTTTCCCGCGTTGCCTGGTTTGCCCACAAGGCCAGTGATCCCAGTGAGCGGTTTTGCGTGGTCGGCTGGCGCTGGCGCCTTACTCGATTTCTCGATTCCGCCCTGATTCCGCCCTCGATTCCGCCCTCGATTCCTGCCGATTGAGGCGTGCCTGCCTCGATCTTCGCGTGACGGGTCGGCGCGCTAGTGCGCTACATGGGCTCTTGGAACTGAACTCGATGACCTAACATCCATGCTGGCCTGGCACCCGTCGTCGCGCTTCACCCCGAATGCTCTGCAGACTTTGCACGCTTCGAATGCTTTGGATCGACGTGCATGACGCTCTGGAGTCCCCGAGTCCCCGATTCGCCTGTCCCTCTCCCATAGAATCATTACTGCTTCCAGCCGCTTCCTTCCAATCTGGTCGTCTGCAGTGTCCAATCCCGTCCAGTACCTGCCCTCCACTCCCCTCTCGTGATCTCGTCGCCGTCGCCGTGTCTCGACTGTCATTGTGTCACCCACCCCCGGGCCGCATGTGTTCATGTGCCTTGCCCTTTATCTCGCCGGACCCCTCACTCCGCCAGCCTGTCTGCTGCGACCCTACGCAAGCGGCGCCCTGACGACAAGTCTCGGCACTCTTTTCTCCGTCTCCCCGCGGACCACAACACCTTCGCCACGGCCCTTTTCCACGACGCTGCCCAGCCGCCCGGCGGCCCCCTTGCTCACCATGGCCCGCAAGTCCAAGGTGTCCTCCACGCCCGGGAATGACGATTCGGCCACAACCAGCGACGTCGCAACTCCCACGCGCCCCGAGGTCAAGCTACGACGGTCCAGCCGCCGCCTTACCCAGCAATCGCACGACATGGAGGAGGACAAGACGCGCGAGATACAAGGGATGGTCATGGGCATCAAGTCCGACGAAGGTGTGCCGCATGACGAAGACGAGGAGGAGCGCATGGAAACGGCCAAGGAAGGCGTCGAGCTCGTCATTGAGGGGCTAGCCAGGATGGAGCGGCGGCTGAAGAAAGCAACCAAGCGACAGAAGCTCAAGGTTGAGGAAACGCAGTTCTCAGATGCCCGAAATCCTCGCGCGGACCCATCCAAGCCATCCATCCAACCGACAACCATGAGGGAGGCGACACTGAAGCACAGCACGGTGCAGGTCGAGGAAGGGCAGGTCGAGCAAGGGCAGGTTGAGCAAGGGCAGGTGCCGACGCCGGGCGAGAGTTCCGTCGCAGCCGGCAAGAGACAAAAAGCGGACCCAGATGTTGGAGAGGTAGAAGCCAGCGTGTCAGAAGAGGTGCCTGACGCTCCTGAGCGAGGAGCGGCGCGATGCCCGCCCGTCAACAGCAGCTACCTGCCGCTACCGTGGAAGGGTCGCATAGGCTATGTCAGTCCCCCCTCCATGTTCGTCCTTGGCGTGATCCGATTTAGCGTTGACAGTCGAGCTAGGCCTGTCTCAACACGTACCTACGCGCCGCCAAGCCGCCCGTCTTCAGCTCTCGAACGTGCCGCATGTCGTCCATTATAGAACATCGCTACCCGCTGCAGGACCCGACCCAGCCTGAGCATCCCGTCAAGAATCGGCCCGACAAATCCAAGGAGCCGAACAAAGAATTAGGAGATGAATTTGTTCGAGAACTCGGTCTTGCCAATGCCAAGGACATTGTCAAGATGCTGCGCTGGAACGACAAGTATGGTATCAAATTCATGCGTCTCAGCTCCGAGATGTTTCCTTTTGCCAGCCACGAGGAGCACGGCTACAAGCTCGCCCCGTTTGCCTCCGAGGTGCTGGCCGAAGCAGGCAGAGTGGCAGCCGAACTAGGCCACCGGCTGACTACCCACCCTGGTCAAGTACGCGCTTTTTTCCTAGCTCGTCGTATTCATATTTCTAACAAGCCTTGCAGTTTACCCAGCTTGGGTCTCCGCGTAAGGAAGTTGTCAAGGCAGCTATCCGAGACTTGGAATACCACGATGAACTCCTGTCTCTGCTTCGACTTCCAGAACAGCAGGACCGCGATGCCGTCATGATACTGCATATGGGGGGTACATTCGGCGACAAGGCGGCAACACTCGACCGGTTCCGCGAGAACTATGCCAAGCTTTTGCCCTCGGTGAAAGCACGTCTTGTTCTGGAAAACGACGATGTTTCTTGGAGTGTACACGACCTGCTTCCGATTTGCGAGGAGCTCAACATCCCACTGGTTCTGGACTACCATCACCACAACATCATATTCGACAGCAGCCAATGCCGGGAGGGCACGTACGACATCAGCCAGCCCGATATTTCGCAACGCATCGCGGCGACGTGGAAGCGCAAGGGCATCACGCAAAAGGTGCACTACAGCGAGCCATGCGCGGGGGCCGTTACACCGCGCGATCGGCGGAAGCACAGCCCGCGGGTCATGACGTTACCGCCGTGTTCGCCCGACATGGACCTGATGATCGAGGCTAAGGATAAGGAGCAGGCAGTTTTTGAGCTTATGCGGACCTTCAAACTGCCCGGGTTTGAGAAGATCAGCGATGTCATCCCCTACGAACGTGCAGATGAGAGTCGCCCGGCGCCAAAGGTGCCGAAGAAGAAGAAGAATGGGAAGACAAAACGAAAGAGGGTACCGGATGAAGACGCAATGGACGTTGACGATACCGTGGAGGGTGAGGAAGAGGCGCCCAACGGGTTCGAGGTGTCGGAAGAGGATTTCGGAATGGGCGGGCCGGAGAATAGGGTGTATTGGCCGCCCGGGATGGAGGAGTGGCTGCGGCCCAAGAAGAGGGAGGTCAAGAAGGGAAAGGCTGAGGATGAGGATGCTGTGCTTTAGGTGTTACGACCTTGCGCGGTTGGATGGTTGGGTGCTTGGAGGGCGCAAAGGCGTAGAGGCGGACTTTACTTTTGGATGGCGAGTCAATCAGGCGGAATGGTGAATGTAAGAGTGGGGTTTGCTTCGCAGCATTGGAAATGAGAACGGAAGGGTCGAGAAGTGTCGGAGTCGGCTGGGTTTCAGTATCGGGGATATTCAGGGGCAACAACAGACGTGCGTGTCCCGCTGGTTTTCGTGGCTTGGGCGGGGCCGAGGCGGCGCAACCGCACAACCGCGTAGGCGCAGCTGTGAGATAATCGCTCAGTTGTGTGTCGAGGTCTCAGTTGTTCCGATAGGTGGTGAGTTCTTGGAACAAAAGACCCGCGCTTGTGATCGCCTATCTGCGGCGTCTGACAAGAATGCACCCGATTAGCGCACTAACAGGGTCATGTACACAAAAGCAATGATATTTTGATAGCAGACAAGCTGTGCCAAATAGCGGTGGACAGCAGCATCTGTGGGAATCCTGCTTTGCCTGTCTTGTTGTACGTCCAACACGGGAGAACTGAGGGGACGACGCGGCAACCAGATCAACAATGTGGGAGGTGGATCTCGGGGCAAGTTCTGCTTGGTGGCCGCGGAGGCTTTCCTCCGGGGCTGCTTTTGCGCGCGTTCGTCCAAAAGAGGTGGGATGGTGGGGCCGGCACAGCGAATCACTGTTGGCCACAAGATGTCGTTGACCACTCTTTTGGCCGCCCTGGCGCATCGGAAATATGTAGCGCCCAAAACCGCACTGCCAGATGAGATGATGACGTAGGGGCCGCCCCCAAAGCACGAATACTGGACTGTGTAAGGGTCTGGCGAGACGGCAGACACAGTTCGCATCATCACGATTCCTAATCTTGGAAGGGTGCAGACAATGGTTATGGCCTTGCAGATTCGAAAGGGGTCCCGACTCCCGAAGCAGGAAGACGAGTCTCTATCATCAAGCAGTGCATCCGCAGGAGATTGATGGACGTGGGCCCTCTTTCTGTTTCTCCCATCCATTCTGTGTCTGCAATCCCAAGCACACACAACATCTTTTTGCGGCTCCTTTCTTTGACGGAATCGCAATATCACGGCAACCTCCGCACACCCCGGCCCCAATGTGAAAAGGGCCGACCGCCACTTCAGCTACCGGAGCGGAGAGAGTTTGACTGAAAGCGGCGACGGGAGTTTGTTTAGCGTCGAGGTGCTGCTGTCGACATTGGTTATCGACATCCTCAACGCTATTGTTTTGGAAGTGTGTTCTGTATGTTTACCATCACCGCCTGCCAAGCCCAACACTCAGCGCGGCTGAGATCACGCTATACTTACTAACGACGCCAACAGCTGAGCCACGGCACTCATCTATCGCCTATATATTTTTCCATCTTCCCTTCGGCAGTGTCCCCATCACCACCACCACCACCACCACCACCACCACCACCATGTGCGGCACCAAGATCAGCTACGCCTGCTCCACCACCCTCATCTCGCAGTCCATCATGTGCCACTGCGACACCATCATCGCCTGCGGGAAAAGCACCCTCTACTGCGGCACCTGCAGCCACCCGCGGTGCAAGGAGCTGCGCGGCCAGCTGGTCTAGCATGAGGCGGCCCGCCCAGGAAGATGGGGGGAGAGAATCTTTCTTGCGCGGTCTGATAATATCACCAAAACCACAGCGACGTGTCGGGGCCATCTGACGGCCATGACCGGGGGAGGATGGGTTCTTTTCGTGTATTTATTTTGGGGGATCACAAGGCGGGGAGGGGGTCCGGGGAAAACACACATGGCCTCGCATCACTTTAGACAGGCGTTTCAGGGGCGGCGGCAGATTTTGGGCATTGGGGGTTGGGTTGTGCAATCCATACGTGCACAGGCTAGAGGCCGGAAGAACATCAAATCAAACTGGCTCCGTGGTCTAGTGGTATGATTCGTGCTTCGGGTATCCACCGTATCCATCGCCTGGAAACAGGCGAGAGCATGTGCGAGGTCTCGGGTTCGAATCCCGACGGAGCCCCTTCTTTTTGCTGGCCCCTGATGAGTTCATGGGCTTTGCTTCTGGAGTGTGGAGCTTGATGGGTCATTTGGACTGGAAGAGAGTTAGAAACTCCAATGCCTATTTATTTGGACTTGTGGGCTATAGGGTTATGTTATCAACTTTTGCGAGTCACCATGGGTAATAACATCGATGGTAATTATGACAGGATTTCTCACTTCAGTTCAACGTTTGTTACACTAGTGATCTGACCTTCTTCAGACAAGTCTAGGAGGCACTTCGTCGGCTGTAGCGGCCCCTGTCTTCCATTTTAGGACATCAATATGTTGAAGCGCCTGTATGATTTCTTGTATCCCAAGGGTGGAGTCACCATATCCTTCAACCCCTGGTTCTGACAGGATGAACCACTGTCGACATCAACTCTCCAGGGTAGTAAACCATCAACCGTCTCGCCAATCTATTGCCTGGGGGCTGATACTCTGTTTGAACAGGCTGTTTTGAGCGCGTGATCGCTAACCTCATCAGGACTGCAGAGATTTGCTATTTATGTGACCCTTGACAGGGGCTAGGTATGTGGAAAGGACCGGTCAAGATGGATGCAGGAGACTTTGTTTGTCCATCAGGGGCGTCCCGGTGCCTGTCACCATCCCTCCTCCTGTTTCTTGGAGATCTGTGCCACGAGGTCCACTACAGACTCTCTGAACCCACGGTACGAGATCCCGAGTTCCCTCGCTGCCGTCCTCCCATCGATGCTTTTGCTCTGATCCGGAACCAGCGAACCCTCCACCACCCTCCCTTTGGCAAACTCAAACTCCTCCCCCACAATCGTGGCCGCAAGCGCATAGTTAAACCTCTCCGGCGCCGCGACCAGATACCTCTTCCCCCCCGCCTCAGGCCTCAGCAACGCCTGGACATGCGCCTCAGCCAAGTCCCTCACATCAACCCAAAACGCCACCCTCGCAACCGGCAACGCCTCCCTCCCCTCCGCCGCCCTCCACAGCACCGCGGCGCTATCATTCAACTCCCGCACGCTCCCGACCGGATGCACGACGGGCCCAAAGACCATGGGCGGCGCAATCGCCACCAAATCGAACCCGGCCCCGCCCCGCCCGACAAACTCCCACGCCGCCCGCTCCGCAAACTTCTTGCTCGCCCGGTACGCCTCCACCGGACTGCCCGCCACCCCCTCGGCGTACGTGATCGGATTCCAGTCCGCCGCCGTATACTCCCCGCCGCTCCTGCTGATATCCAGCACGGCCGCGAAACTCGACGTCAGCACCACCCGCTTGACCCCCCCCGCGGCGGCGGCGGCCGCCAGGACGGCCTCGACCCCGCGGATCGCGGGCTGGATTAGCTCCGCCTCGTTGTCGGTGATGGCGTAGGTCACGGGTGATGCGACGTGGATGACGCCGTCGATGCCGCCGGCTAGGGCGGGGGTCAGGTCCAGAGTGGGGGAGGAGAAATCCGGGATGGTGATTGTGGAGAGGCGGGCGGTGTGTTGGGGGCGGGCGGAGAGGAGGGCGGCGCCCTTTGCGGGGGAGCGCACGGCGATGCGGATCGGGAGGTTTGTGTGGGTTAGCAGGGCGTCGAGGATGTGGGCGCCTATGAAGCCCGTGGCCCCGGTGAGGAGGATGTGGGTTGGTGGGCTGGGCGGGTTAGTGTTAGTGTTAGGGTTTGGGTGGGGGTTGGGGGACGTACGAGGACATTAATTTGGATGGTTGGGATACGGGGTAACGGTATGGTGAGATGTTGGAAGGGGTTTTGCGACGAGTGTATATTATTAATGAGATGGGAGACTATCACGAGCGATTAATAATTAGTAAAATGGCGTGATGAGGGGAGAAGTTGGAGGGTGGTTTGGCTGGTTGCGGGTTAGGGTTGAGATGGGAAGCATGTCGATGAGTTTTAATCTGGTATTGCGTGTGTTCTCTTGCTTTGTTCACCCCTCCTTCGTTGACTTTCTGTAGGATCCAGCATACACGTCTTTGTGGTGGCTCAGCTTAACTATGCCGCATCCCCCTACCATGCTCCCTGACAACGAGTGCGCAGGTAATAATAAATAATAAATGTAAGGATACTCGCACTCGGCCTTTCCCATCACAAGGCAGCATTGACCGTTGGCGGCTCCGATGTGCATCAATCGTCAAATCTGAGCATGAGAGCGAAAGACTACTCGAACCATCCAGTGGCTGGTTACCACCGAAGTTTCCCTCACAGTGTTGTTCTTCAGTTTTATGCTCCCGCAGCATCCTAATGCTAGGGCAATGTAAAGCCTTAGTCGATATCTAGCCCCGGTAGCGACTGCGATGGGTCGAGATAGCTCGACGGTGTTGATTCCTCCCCGGCCTGCTTCCGGTAGGGAAAAGTAGGCAGAACGGGGCCTCAAACTTCCGTTCGGCTTCCCCATTGTCTACGCCACGGAGCTATGTAGCTCCGGCATTGCCCCAGCGGTTTCACAACCCGGTCTGACATGACGGTCCTCCAGCCGTTACCGATCTTTCGGAGAGATTCGCGCTTTGGGCCAGGAACATTGGTGCCTTCCAACCGCAACCGTCTCCGCTGTCCCTAGAGTCACACTTCTGGGACGCTCCCAAGATTCAAGACTGCCCTTCAGAGGACCCAAGACCCTTTCACCCACCAATTTGGCATCAACCACATCCGAGAGAAATACCCAAAGCAGCTAGAGCTAGCCCCAGTTCCCAAGGTTTGAGGAGGAGGTTGGGCCGAGCGGTCAAATGAGACGCCAATTCCTACGGTATTGCCAAACACCAAAACCCTCTAGCAAACCATGACAATGATAGCACAGAACCCAGCCGAAGATTCAAAGGATTTATAGAGCCGTCAGACACAGAAATAAGACCCAGAAGTCATCTCTCATTCGCTATATTCTAGGCAGCGGCACTTCCAGGCGGGGTTTATAGACCAGACATGAAAATATCAACACTGTTTGCCGGTTGACTAGACATGGTTCACGGTAAACCTGAAGATGACGGAACATCACACCCTTCAGCTGTTCATTCTGGCTTTGCCCAAGGAGATGCTATGCTGGAACTGCCGAGTTCGAATGCCCCTTTTGTCACATTCAAAATTTAAAAGCGAAAAGGAATGGAGGTGCGTGATACTGTTCGAAGTCGACTGATACCCCCAGTATTACCTCCTCCACGCATCCGATCTGCCGACTTTTTCAGAGCGCACATCACTAGAGCCTACCCCAGCCTATCCGAGTCTGGAGCCTAGTTGTTAGATTAGGCAAGCCGTCGAGCGCTGAATCTTATCCCCGCTGTCGATTGCCCGTTCCGCCATGAGTGGGAACAAAACATTAGGGCGAGCATACGTGAAAAACAAAAGGGAGCAACAAGTGATCCGGCGCCGGCTGCATAGGCCCCCGAACAATTGAGCTAGAGCATGACAACAACCGTGCCACTTCTAACGCGGCGCAGGTACTCGAAGCTACCCCGGACACCAACAATGAGTTGAGTTGGCTACCGGACCCCCCACTGCACCTTGCTGCATTTGCGGGGGCCGTTGCCTGCCTCAAGTGAGTGCTGAGGACGGGAGATATGGCTATGATGGGACCTTTGGTGATGAGGGCACCGATTATGGCGGTGCCGCCGAAGGGGAAGACGATGCACATCTGTCACGGCTCGGGAGCAGTAGTTGAGTGAGTTGAACCTTTGTCACTGCTTGCCCAAGTCATATTTCTATCAGGTCATGATACCCATAGCCGAGGCAAACTCCTTGAACTCACCTCGGTTCGTGCAGTTAGATTTCATCTGTTATCCAGGTTCTGTGGCTATCGAGGTAAACACATGCTGAAGCCAGTATACGCGCAGTGATTTAGTGTTGCATGAAAATCATGAAGAGCCGTGTTTGGGAATGGTATGTCTGTCAATTTATACATTTTTACTCACACTATCCTTTCAGTCTGTTTTCCTGTTGAAAAGGGGTTCGTCAGCTACATGTGTTCCTTGTTCGGTCTGACTTGGTTAAGCCGCCTTCATTCGTGCATCGATTTATCTTAGAATGAGTAATGATGATAGCGATGGCACCAGAACTGCATTTAGCACAGGATATCCATGGTTGTTTACGCGCTCGGGGTATCCTTCATATCAACATCTGCTCGCTCAATCTGTTCGATGTTCTCAAACTGGTTGGCGAAGGCAGCAGGGTAGATAACGTCATGGTCATCAAGAAGGTACTCCAAGGAAGAGTCATACTTCTTGCTGAAAGCAGCAATCTGGATCATTCTCGCATTATATGCTCTTTTCTCCACATCATCGACGCTGAAATCGACAAGGGGCTCAAGATCAGCGCGTTTCAGGCCCAGCTCCGCTAGATCACCCTCAAGCAACAGCATCTGATCCCGCATGTCGGACGTCTCTGCTTCTATTTCTCGTAGTATGTGCAGCCACTGAGAAAGCCTTTGGGCCGTCTTCTCAACCTCCGTCTTCTGGCTCGCCAAATGGCGCATCATCAGCTTGAACTCGTACAAGAACTGGTCCTCATGACGCCGCCGCGCACTCCGACGGAGATCTGTTGCGGGTCCCGCGTTTCCGCCAAGCTCCCTTGCGATTTCCCGGGCCTCGTCCAGGAACCGGCCCTCGCAATGGCGCCACAGGATGGCCGTGGCGGACCAGATATCGAGAATGTCGGCCTCGGCACCCAGGACTACCAGCCGGTCGTGCTGGATCCGCTTGACGGAGAAGTCGAAGATGGGCGAGTCGAAAAGGCCGTGATAGACGCCGCTCAGGGCGGTGCGCGCGCGGATCCAGAGTAGACAGATCTCAACGAGGGTGATGTCGTGGGTGACGATCATGTTGAAACCTCGAGGTGCCATGGTGATGCTTCCAGGAGCTCAGGAGAATTTGACGGCTTGGGCTTCCAATGTTGTGTCCAACGTTGTGCGGATATACAGCTCGGATAAGAGTGTTTGCACGACGATGATGCTTGGGGATCCCGGCCAAGATCTGATTGAACTAGCTCGATTATATATGCTGCTCCCATGTTACAACAGACAGAGG